TACCAATTTCGAAATTTTTTAAAAGAATAAAATTAAATATATGTTCCTTAGTAAAATTTTTAGTTTATAATTTCTTTTACGAAATTTTTTTATTCATAAGTAATATTTTACTTATAAGTACTTTTTTTTACATATAAATTAATACTTAACTTAAAAAAATTAAATAAAGGTAAACGTTTATTTAAATTTTAAGTATATATTTTTTACTTATAAGTAAATTTTACCATTATAAGTAAATTTTACCATTATAAGTTAATTTTAAATATACTTTTAAAAAATTTTAAATGGGTTTTTTACTTATAAGTAACTTTTTATATTTATATGTGAATTTTTGTTTTATTAGTAGTATTTTTATTTTATAAATATATTTTTTTACATAAAATGATTTTTTACTTATAAGAAATTTTTTAAATTATAATATAATTTTTCTATCTTATTAGTGATATTTTACTTATAAGTATTTTTTAAAATTATAATGTAATTCTTTTGCTTACAAATAATTTTTTAGTTAATACATTTTTATTTACAAGTTAGTTTTGAAGAAAATATATTGGTTGGAAATAATTATTTTATAGAGGATAAAATTGGATGATAATATGAGAAATGACAAAAATCCGCTAATTTGATGGGTTGAGAGAACCGGTCAAAATTACACTATATTGATTTTGGGTGATTTTTAAACCATCCAAAATCGGTGTCCCAAAAAACATACGAACACTAATTTTTTTAACCTCTCGTAAATGGTGCCATCCAAAATCAGTCAAAATCGGTGAAAATTGAACTCCCAAGCAAGCCCTTAGAGTCGAGATAACCTTGTACCATAGCAATAGACCCATTTATGCTCTTCTTGATCTTATGTGTTGTAATAAATAATTCCTTCAAAGAGAATCAAACAAGAAATTAAATAATTCAAATGGAAATAGCAATAGTCGAATCAAATAGTATAATGCAAGAAGTGAACTTCCCTATCAAGAACAACATTTGCAACCAAAAGTGTAATAACGAGGCTCAGAACGATCCAAAGTCACAAGGCAACTCCACACACAATTGGACCATATAACCTCACTCAAACCATGAAGAAATCTCCCTATCAAGAACAACATTTGCAATCAAAAGTGTAATAACGAGGCTCAGAACGATCCAAAAGTCACAAGGCAACTCCACAACAATTGGACCATATAACCTCACTCAAACCATGAAGAAATCTCCCAAAGAACACACCAAAAGAGTCAAGCTACACTTAGGAGAAATTTTATAGAAGTATTAAGATAAGACTCAATAGTGAGGTGGGTGATTTTTTTTTTTTGTAATAAAATATTCACATGGAGCCCACACCCATGTGAGAGCCTGTAAACATCCTGTGAATTTTTTTTTTGTTTTGTACACTGAGAATAATCCGACGGGTTAACCACAACAGATGACTAACACCGACAGCAAAGGGAGAAGAGGGATGGTCACGGCAGTGGGCAGAAGCCAAAAGAGAAAACCACATAGTCAAGTCGCGCAGCCACTTCAAGAGAAAAGAGACATGTATGTATGTAGTGCCTCTCAATGTTGACAAAGTCCACTTTAACAAAAAGTGGGTCGAGCCCCCTGACCGCCCCTAATTTCCCACTGTGAGATTCTTTGTCCGTCTCGATTTCTTGGACAGCCTATTGTAACCTCGGGTCAATATAATTAATATTATTCAATAACGATTTTCGAACCAAGCATGTGAATTAAATCCATCCCAATTTATCATCCTCACCTTGAGTTTATATTTGATATCAAATACCTAACATTACAGATCCACTTACACCCAATAACATTTTGGGAGGTGTAGAGAGATAAGAGTCCAAGTAGAATTATGAAGAAGTTCATCAAATTCTTAACGAACGAATTATTATTACACGACTTGGTGAGGAAGAGATGTTGAACGGGACCGTAAAATTTGGTGCAGTCTCATTGCTGTCACCACCTTACCTTGTTTGAGTGGTTTTAAATGTAAAACACAATATCAAAGATAGTCAACATGATTGTATTATGAGAAAATAAAAGACTGTCTTAAGTGGTAACTGGTAATGTTGTCAGTGATTATCTAACTTGGTGGGTTGAGGATAAATAATCGAACAATTCATCTCTCTAAAACTCAAATTAGTATTCGAATTCCAAGAGTAGTGCGTTCATAGTGCCACAATCTTATAGAGTCCCACAACAAAGGGTGCTGCTGCCTCAATTTATGTTAAGATAAAGACCTGGCTTGGTGGATCTTGGGGCTTTTTCAAGTTGTTCTTGATACCATAATATGCTTTACAGATTCTGATAAATGGCTACTATTTCATTAGCTATTTACATAAAAATGTGACTTATATTAAGCCCCTATTTGACAATCATACTTTTCCAAATTAGGATTTTGAATAATGATTTTTAGGAGAATGTGTGGTTAAAAGATATGGAAAAATTTTGGATTTACGTGCATAATATTTTATTCTACGAATGTGGTTGAAAATGAGTACGTAAAAATAGAAAGGGTTGGAAAAGTAAAGTTGTAAAATAGGGGCTAAGTGTCCATTTTACGATTTAACGTGCTATGAATGTTTGTTTTCATACAAAGGAGATGTCAAGTAATTCTGAAATTACAAATCGACATTATTCAGCTTTTTCATACGATTATAATCTCAAACATATTCTAATTTTTCTTCTTGGATAAAGTTTCTATAATTATCTTGAGTCATATTGATCTACAGAATAAAATTCTTGCTTTGCACTCAATAAACTTATCCCGCTATTAGTTCACAGTTCAACTCGAATAATTCTTCTTCCTCTAATACTAGGACTTGGCAAGTGAATCATGTTCGCCAGATAAATTTCAGCACTCAAAACCATTTTCAATACATTTGAAAGAATTTTCAAAATGCTTTAACATAAATTCTTACTTGACAAGATGAAAATTGTCATGATCTTTGTGTTAAATTACCTTGCTTTCCAAAATCCAAAATCTGCAATTTCTTGCACTTTAATGGGTCAAATCTCAATCACAATGGAATGAAATTATTATCCACAATCTAAGTACCAAAAATGAGCTTTCATGCCAAAATAATGGTCCCTTTTCAATTTTAGTTTAGTTTTCCTTACGAAGTTTAGGGGGTTAATGAAGGTTATGGGGAGTTTAGGCTTGAATTTCAAGTTCAAACCACTCCCTTCAATTATTTTGATGTCTTGAGGGTCGGATTACCATGCATGAGCAACTCATGATCCGTATTTTTCAACAATTTTCGTAACTACGAATGACAATATCAACTTTCATCAATAAAACTATTTGATGGTCAAACTTATCAAGTCAAAATGAAGTCTAATCGAACCAGAATTATGTAGTTTGATCGAATTAGTAAGACGAAGTTCCTCTTCTATTATCCCGGAAGTCTGTGAATCAGAAACTATCTCAAGGGTTAACTATATGTCACATCCAAAGTGAGGAAGACTTTAACTACAACTGGGTGAAGGTATGTCATAAAATAAATGCTTGGTCGTTAAAGGAATCCCTTAGAATCAAGAAGACAACATTGTACCGTAGCAATAGAACCATATATGTTCTTCTTGATCTTATGGATCCACTTACACCCAACAACATTGGTGGGAGGGTGTAGAGAAATTAGAGTCCAAGTAGAATTATGAAGAAGTGCATCAAATTCTTGACGAAATATTATTACAAGACTTGGTGATGGAGAGATGTTGAGTGGGACCGTAAAATTTGGTGAAGAGTCATGGCTGACACCACTTTACTTTGTTTGAGTAGTTTTTAATGGAAAACACATCATCAAAGATAGTCAACATGATTGTATTGTACGAGAATAAAAAACCGTCTTAAGTGATAATGTTATTGGTGATTATCTAATTTGGTAGGTAGAGGATAGATAATAGAACAATTTATCTATTTAAAGTTCAAATTAGCATTCGAATTTCAAAATTAGTGTGATCAAAGAACCACCATCTTCTAGAGTCCCACAACAATTAAATATGGAAATTATAACTAATATATAAGCACTTGCTTTATCCCTCATAAAAAGTTTGACATTTTAATATGGAACTTCATGAGCAAGTAAAGATCTTGGGTCACATTTTATGTTTTGATGGGAAAAAACGAATATCGCTACACGTGAAGGGACGTGTTGAAAATAATATTATCTAAGAGTTTAAACTGCTAAATCACTTGATTAAGATGGTAACTTAGATATTACGTTTGTTGGGAGGAATTTAAAGATCCCTACCTATTTCAAAGTTTGTGTACAGTGCTGCCTCAATTTATGTGAAGTCAAAGGCCTGGCTTGGTGGATCTTGGGGCTTTTCCAAGTTGTTCTTGATACCATAATATGCTTTAGAGATTTTGATAAATGGCTACAATTTCATTAGCTCTTTAAATAAAAATCGTGAGCTACATTAAGCGTCCATTTTACAATTTAACGTGCTGTGAATGTTTACTTTCATACAAATAAGATGTGAAGTAATTCCGAAGGATTTTGTCATTGTGCACTCTTTGATTACATTATTGTTGACATTCTTTTTGTTTTTCAAAAAGTGCGTAGATGGGAAAACTATTTTATTTTTAGGTTGGCGAATGACAGTTTGCCATTTGGTGTAACAAAGCATGATTGAATTCTGAAATTGGAAACCCACATTATAGAGGTTTTTTATAAGATTTTAATCTCAATAATTATCTTGGGTCATGGCAAAATGCATTTTTTGGAGAAAAACGGGCCTTAAACAACCTACAAAAGTTTTGTGAATCAATCCCAAACTAGTTGGTATCATGGTAGAGCCATGCCATAGTATAGATGACCACTAGATTGACACAACACACACGCATATAGGTTGAGATTATTTTATTCATGGAAGACCCACATCGAACATGTGAGGACACAGTCAACCGCGAAGTCATTGCAGGTCGTTTGGCTTTCTCCATCATGGTATGGATGTAATGGACAACACAAAAGCTTCGAAAAGGAAATATTGACAATGACAAAAAACGAATCTATGACATAGCCGTTGGATAAGCTACTAATATTATAGTCAGCTCAAATAAATCATTAAGCCAGTAAAAAGTGCATAATACAATACACAAAAGTAGCCGTTTCCTGTCTAAAAATTTATAGCCGTTGCAATATTCTGAATGCAACGTTAAAATCTTGAAAGTGATCTAAGGCCACATTTAGGTTTCTTCTAATTAGGACTCTCCTAAAATCAAGAATAAAAAACATGAGGGGGACCAAATGGGGAACCCATATCACTTTTAAAAGGAAATAATGATGAATTAATGACGAGAAAATAAAATTATTGTAGCAATCTTGGATACCGACTGCTGTGTTTCCTCCTTTTTCTCTCATTCAAAATCCATCTTCAAACTTTAAAGTGTAACACTAGGAAACTTGCATAATCCATAACCTGCAAAAAGTTAAAACAAATAATTATAAGAAAGGTGGGATTCCATTTAAACTTGTCTGAAAAAAGCTAATATACATTTTACTGTAATTCATATTTGACAAATGTCGTCTTTGATCGTTGGTGCTAAATAACATTATTCAAAATGATTACATTGAGCTTCTTTTTGCGTACATAATATGCTACTTTTGGTACAAGTCTTCATGTCGTCACCTCAAAACTCAGCCATATTTAATGTACGTACCTTTCGATAAAGCTATGATAAAAGTTCTCATCAAACTTGTACTCTATTATTAAATGCTCACAGTATTCACTAAATTCTGTTGCTAATTTTTACTGAATTCTCCATGCTCACAATGTCATTTCTATGCAATAAAAAGTCAGAACTTTTAATCTCTTCCAAGTCCTATTTAATTCTTGCTACCAAACATGATAATTGATATAAATGTGTTGAAATTTCAAGTATGAGTTGTTAAGTGATAATACTTACTTGGATCCTGAGCAGTCTGCACAGCAAGGCCATTGAAGTAACAAGTCCCACCACTCTTCTTAAACTGTGACCAATAAGAACTAAAAGCATAACTTGCATGGTTAATCAAAGAATTAGGCTTGTAACATTTTCCACCCGGTTGGATCGGGTCACACGTCCGATTACCCTGACCACAGGCATAAGACAGAGCACCGGCCAGTGCTGTCCGGTTCGCTCCTTCGGCTACCACACACCAAATCTTACCCTTATAAGGCTCATTGTTTGTAGGCTTAGGCAATGGTGGATACTCAGACTCCGGTGTCTCACCAGATAAATCAATAGGATACACATAAGACCCGTTAGGATATAACAGACCAAAATGCCGCTCGGTACCTGGACCTGGCTTCTGGTTTTCGTTATACAATGCGAAAATCATGGTTGGGATCACCACCCCGGGTCTTGCCGGAGTTCCAATCGGTGGCTTAGCCATGAATTTCTTAACCACGTTTCTATTATACGTGGCGGCATTGTATATATTTGCACCGATTTGATCAATGTCGCCACCATTAGGCCAACCAGTTTCGGCTATAAATAGCCGAATATTCGGGTACCCAAGTCTCTTCATGGCAAAAATAACAGAGTCAAGCATTTGATCCAACAAATTAGTGTAGGTCAAACCCGAAACTGGATCTTTGTAGGTAATATTTGTGGCTGCTAGCAAAGCATAATCAAGATTGATTTGGTCTGGTTGATTTGCCCAAGGAAAATAAGTGTACACATCAAGGAAGAAAAGTGATTTAGTTCTGTCCAAGAAACGCAACAATGGCTTAATAACTTTATCCCTAACATCAGACCTAAAAGTACCATTAGACGGTGGGTATGAAGATTCTAATGCGTCCATTGCCAATGGGGTTCCAACTTTAATCCTCTTCAGACCGAATTTCTTCACAGACCATCTGATTTTACGCATAGCAGGTACAAGATTGAACCAGGTGGTGTTGGGTGGATTGCTCAAGATCTCATTCCCTACTAAGAGGTAACGGATCAGGGTTTTCGGGTAAAAGGGTACCACATTGGTTTTGACCCATTCATCTGCTAGTGTTTGGTTTGAAGAGATATTGGTGATGATTTCATTTGGAACCATGACTGAGGCTTGGAGATGAGTGCCCTTAAGGGCATTGAGGATTTTTGTGTTGGCATCGTAGATTTTGACACGTTTGGCTCCTAGTTTCTTGATTAGTTGAATCGATTTTGATTGTGTAGGCAGGTTGTTGCCCAGTTGACCGTAGCATATTCCAATCTTGGGCTTCATCTCTCCATCTGCAAATCAAGAAAATAGAACGATGAGTTTAACACTAAAAAGAACACATGATACACAAGCTATTGTTAGTATATACGTGTATGTATCTTACTGGAGAAAGAAGGGTATAGAGCTAGAAGAGAGAGCAGAAAAAAAGGAAAGAATCCCATCTCCTAGATTTACTCCAGTACTCTTTTCTGGGTATTTTTGTGCTGGAAATTGATGGGATTTATGAAGGATTGGCGAATCTATGATGGTGCAGCGAAAATGAAAGACAGGAGGATTTAGAATTTACAGATCCGGAGGAGGCGTGTATAAAACGTTGAGCTCAAAAGCGATGTGTGAAAAGTCGTGTGCGTGGGCTGGGCTGGGGGTGGCTGTCGCATGTCCTCGATAGTCGTCCTATTCATAGAACCAAAGACGGAGTCAACTGTTTGATAGCATAACTTGTTTGTTAAATTTTTTATTATTATTTTCGGAAAATGAAAATCGGTGGAATAGTGTTGTTTTCGATTTACGTGCAATATTATTTTATGAAAGATTGTGTGGTTGAAAATAAAAGAAAAAACAAAATATAATATAATGTAATGAAATTTAATGGGGGCCAAACGAGAACTTAATTTTAACCTAATATTTTGGAGTTAATAACCCAAATGGTCATTGAACTTTAAAAATTCCTCAAATCATTACTAAACTTTGTAAAAGATTTTCAAGGGATCACTAAACTTTAAAAATCATCTCTTTCATCACTGAACTTTGCAAAAATTTTCCCATGAGTCACTGAGTTCGATAACCTTTGGAAAATTTTTGCAAAGTTCAGTGACCTCATAGAAATCTTTTGACAAGTTCAGTGATAAATAGAGTGATTTTTAAGTTCAATGATGATTTGAGTGATTTTTAAAATTCAGTAACTCGGTGAAATTTTTTTGCAAAATTCAGTAATCATTTGGATTACTAACCCTAATATTTCATAAACTTACAAATTTCAATCCATATCAAGTTATCAACTTGAAAACATACGACCCAATTTTATGAATAAAATATTATCTGTTCAAGGGTTAATTACAGCATTAATTACTAAAGTTTTGAATAATTGCGCAATGCACACAGAAGTTATTTTTTCAGAATTTAAGTAAGTAAATAATAACTAAGCCTCCGTAATTACTCAAAACTCCAATGATCATTGACGTACTAAGCCTCCATACAACAAAAATGAGATTTAGATCAACTATTGATTACGAATTATCATCAATATCATTTTCAAGTTGGAAAATATTACGAAGTCTTTTATAATCATCCTTAACATATCCCAATCTTTTGGCATCTGCTTTTGCTATTAATTTTACAGATCCACAATAATTTTTTATTAATTAATATTATTTTAAAAGTCGATTTATTAATAGTTAATAAACTATGCGTAGCATCAATGGCGGAGGGACGTGAGGCCGGTGTGATCCCCTCGTTGATCCACTGAAATTTGAGAAAAACAATATTATACGATTTTTTATATTTTTTTATATTTTTAAAATTATTTTTTTTGTTTAAAATTTTTTAAAATAATATTACACGTAAACCCAAAAATTTTATTTCTTTTTTAATTACACATTTTTCAAAAAATAAAAAATGAAAAAATATTATTCCAAAAATTATAATTTCAAATAATAGGAGCCAAACGGGGGTGATTCAACTAACATATCCCAACTGTTTGGCATCTCTTTTTGCTATAAATTTTACAGATCCACAATAATTTTTTATTAATTAATTTTATTTTAAAAGTTGATTTATTAATAGTTAATAAAGTGTGCGTAGCATCAACGGCGGAGGGACATGAGGCCGGTGTGATCCCTTCCTTGATCCACTGAAATTTGAGAAAAAAAAAAGAAAATATTATATTATTGCTGTATATATATTTTAAAATTATTGTATTTTGTATTTAAAATTATTTTTGTAAGTAAATTAGGTCTTCACTCGATTTGAGGTATGGCTCCTTCGTGCATACCATGCAACATAATATCTTCGACATTCTTCATTAATTATGGATAAATAACTAATCTTTTCGTTTGTAACTACACAAATTTATAGAAAAATTTAGGATAAGTTGTAATTTCCGTAATGTATCACGAAAGTGTATTTATGCGTTTATCAGAATATTAAACTTTTGCTACTGACTTTACCTTTTATGTACAGAAAAGTGAGCAAAAAGAAGAAATGGATATTGTCCTGAGAATCGATTCAATATTTAGGGGAAGAAAAAGAATTTGGTCCCTAAAGTTTCAGAAATACCTCAGGTTGATCTCTAAAACTTAATTTATTTCGAATTAGTCACCTAAGTTTCCAAATATTGCCATTGTTTGAGGAAAAAAAATATATTTTGGAATACTGTTTTTTTGAAGAATGTGTTTAAAAAATAAGAAGATATTTTTGATTTACACATAAAATGATTTTATTAAAGAATTAAATTTTTTGATAAATGAGGCTATTTCCATTCAACCCTAAATTGTGCCAAAAAATAAAAAATTGACTAAGCGATGATTATGGCTTACATGAAAATGATTTAACAGTGAACTAGTACACAGTGATATTGATAGCTTATACATGGGATTTGATGTTAATCTCGCTAACTATGTGAACATACTGGAAATTTTAAGAAACTTAGAATAAAATAAATAATGAGGATCAACTTAAAATATATCTAAAATTGAAGTGCCAGTTGTAAATTTACCCCAAAAAGAAAGTGAAAAAGTTGGGTCTTTCTGACTCCTTGCTTGAGTGTGCTTTGTTATATTTCGAGGAAGTCAGCAAAAGTTGTTTACTTTTTCCAGGATACGGTTTGGGATTTAGAACTAAATTAAGCTTTATTAAAACTTGCAATTAGGTTAATGACTTAATTCTTCTTAGTTACCACTAACGACAAAGTCCACAATGATCAATTCCTAATTTTAAGTTTTCGAACATTTTAGTCAAATGTTGAATGAATGTTTCGATACGATTTTCTTAATTGTTTATGTCTAATTCCATTTTAATTAGGATCGGATTTTGATGATCTCATTTGAAAAATCAAATGGTGTCTAATAAAGGACTTTTAACTTTTTATGACAATCAAACATCGTCAATTGCGTGGTAAAGTTAAGGGTGGCTTCATTGTTCATCAAAGTGACGCTCTTTTGACTCGAACTCATGATCTAGTCTCCAATACCATTTATAGGAACAGTTTTTAAATGTCTTATCTAAAAATCATATGTCCTCCGATAAAAGACACTAAGGGTGCGTTTGGTTTGCATTTTTGTTTTTAGTTTTGAATTCATTTTTTATTTTTTGTTTTGAGGTATTATTTTAAGGTTGCAGACAAATTGTTTGGTTGTCATTCTTAAAAACTGTTTCTCAAAAAAAAAAATAAAAAAATACGTTTGATTTAAAAACTTTAAAAATAGTTTTATGACATTTTAGAGGAGCATGGAAAGAGAGAGATAGAGACAGGGGGAGGGATATTTTTATTTGGGTAAGTTTTGTGTGATTTTATTTATTATTTTAATTTGAAAAAATTTTAAACTCATTTTCCTTGTTTTGAGTTTTTTTAGTGTTTATATTGAAGACACTCAAGACGTCAAAAAGTCGTTTTGATTTTTGTTTTATAAAATTTTCCTTATTTTCAAAATCACATTTTTGAAAAATAATATATCGAACACGTTTTGAATATTTTAAAAAAATGGAAAACTAAAAATGGTCTGAAAATGATAAACCAAATTCACTCTAAACATTTTATGGTAATCAACCACGATCATATGATTGACCAACTAGGGGCTCAAAAGTAGCATCATTGCTCATTGATATGACGCTCTTGTGACTCGAATCCATGATCATTAATATGATATATGTTTAAGATTATATTTAACCGTCTTATCTAAAGATCTATTGATGTTTACTAAGGAAAGACTGTGCCTTTTATGACATTAGACTATTATTATGTGAATAACTCAAACTCTTGACTTTGAGTAACATTGTTGTTCTTCAACACATTTTTAAAGTTTCAATTTTTAAAAGTGCTAAAATAAAATTGTTTTTATTGTTAAAGTTTGAGTACTCCTTAAATATGGGGAGATAGGGAGAGAATTTCTACCTGGTTATTGTTGGAGATAATGACTCGAATTGATAGATATTAAGATTCTCGTATGATAGATAGAATAACAATTATCTTATACACTGTCACATATAGAATAGACTTACAATTCAAGTTAGAATAGGTATCTTCTTGTATCGAGTCTATGATTATGTTTGGGTTTTTTTATAAGTAATTTATAATTTTCTTATAATTAAAAAAATAGCAAGTATCACGAAATGTAGGGATAATAAACAAATAGAAGTTATGTAGGAAAATTTTAGTATTCTTGAAATATGAAGTATTTGGTACTACTTAATTTTATTTAAATTGATTTATGTATTAAATAACTGGAACTCACTATCTAATTTAACTCGGACATGCACATGTCAATTAATAGAGCATGGAATACTAAAAAAATTTCAGTTTTAAATGTGTGATTAAAAATTAAAATTAAACTAAAAATTATTAATAACTTGTAGCCAGTGTGATGAGCTAAATTGAAAAAATCACAATTTTTGGAATTTATGTAAACAAAGGTTTAATCATGAATTATGCACTTGCCATACACAATGTGGCGTGTGGTGTATTTGACTCATTCAAGTAAAATACCGAAATGGCCTTGTCATTGTTGCTCTGTAAAATTACATGCAGGGCAAATCTGTCTTTTGAAGTTGTAAACTAGGCGTGGAAATGGAATTAATGAAATATGAACGTTAAGTAATACTGATATGCAAACATGGTTGGCCAGTTTGCTGAATATATTACAGAAATTTTTGAATTTTCAAACTTGCAAAATTGCTAATAAGTTGATTTTAACAGCTTGTTTGGAAGTGATTTTTTGGTCTAAAAAATTGTTTTTTTACCGTTATTTTACTATTTCAGTCGTCATGTTTGATTTTCTCTCTCACATGTGGTCCCATTTTTCTCCTAATGGTCAAAAAATCAATTCTTAAAATTACTTTCAAACAAGCTCTAACCGTTCTTGGATGACACTGAATGATTAAATTGTATTTGAGTTAACTACACGCTAAAAAATTTATCACT